TTCTCGCATGCATGCTGATTGGCCAACAGTTGGACGCATTGGAGTGAGTTTGTTTGACTGAATCAAAGGAAAAATGTCATGCATTCACAAAGGTCGTTAATTATGGATCCAACTAGCTGTATATACCGATATGTTTCACTCGCCTTCTGCCTGCATTTTCGCCTGGTCCTTTTGTTTGCAGAATATACGTTTTGTCCCTGAAGGACCGACTTTTTAAACACCGGTAGCTCAGCAGACTTGCACCTGTTGCATATTTTTCTCCTCTTTTTTTCTATGTATTGTCGCACAGTAGATGAGGTGTTTTCCACCTCTAGCTAATGTGTGTTATGGTGGTGTTGATGATGATGTGAAACACCTGCAGACGTGTTTACTATATATCTGCCTAGAAAGCGCTCTGCCATGAATTATTGAGAGCGTTGCAACGAAATGCAAATCAAATCAATTTGGATTCGACGATTGAAGCTGTTTTTCAACCTGTTAAACAAAAGTGAACTATTTCGATTTGTCTACTCTCGAACTACAACCTAGCTCAACTCGAGAACTTCACATCAATGCTTATACAATGCGTATACCAAAAGCTAGGACAAGCATGCGCCCAAATTTATTCCTGCTCAGATGTACCTGTGGAATAAACTGCTAATCATACTCAGATTATGTGACAATCTGGCAACATTTAGCAACAGGCTCTCAAGTTACCTTGACCTAAATACCATAATGGCTATTCACCTGGGACAAATCTCTCGACGAGCTATTCCAAGAGGGGGTCAAGAAACAAACCCACGTTTCCAAATTCTGGCTTTTGCCTCAACCATGTACCACAACTCTATTACATGAATCGTATGCTCCACAATATTCCACATATGCATATTGCCCATGTAAGAGCAGGGTTACTTTTGTACGAATTGGTATGTGCTGCTGTAGACACAGTTTCTGGAATCTGGCGAAATATACGTATTATTATTATTATTATTATTATTATTATTTACTTTGAGCTGTTTATAACGCAACGCTCCGGTGCTGCGCAATTGTACGTAGTAGGATGCGAGGTTCCTAAGAGCTCGCCTATGTCTCTATTCCAACTTGGCTTTGTGTTCAACTCCATAAAGACCTGCGTTTTGAGTAGGGCTTTGTTGGGTGACCACAGCTTCCTTTCGATCGGAATGCACTGTTATACAGCGCCGCTTAACGGATTGACGCTTGATGCTGTACTTGTCTTGATGTGCTTCGCACCTTTGAAGTTCTAAGAACTGTTACGAGATTAACCCCACATACGAGCTATCATTCTCACTGAATATCCACTCGAAGTGGTCAATCGCCTCGTTTGTCCAGGCACGACAGCCAGCTGTTTGTGACGGTATGTTGTCTACACAAGGTGTAGGCGCCTTGACCCCTGAATGTTTGCTTAGGGCATTAAGGTTTTCAGGTAAGTCCTCCTTCTCTCCCTCTTATTATTCTTTATTTCATAGCTCATCATAGTTTTATGGCAGCGAATCATCAGTTCAAATGGCTGATGTACTGCTGTTGTTGATGTTGTTGATTGTCCAGGCGGCTGTAATAGTCTGATGTTCGCATCCCCGGCCGTTTTTCCACTCGCATAGTCAAGGTCCGATTAATCTCTTAAGACAGTCATTTACTAATACAATGAAACATGAGCCTGCTTGTTGGTCGAGGATATGATGTGCTTCGCGTCAACGCGGTCAATGTTTACATAAAGGTCAAATACTGGTAACTGTCCGTTCAAGAAATATAAATGATCTACTCGTCTTTGGTCCCCGGTGAGATAAGCTATAAAAAAATCCATCCTCCGTGCCTTGTCCACCTTTTGTAGCTGATCAGCAACCCATTCCACGTGTTGTAAACCCATTGAAATTGGGTGCTGGCTCCATTGATTTGTTGAGTTTGTTGTGGCTCAGTGCTTCGTCGAAGTTTTTGGTTCCATCCCTGGTTACTCTGTAATACCAGCGACGCTTCTTCAGTTTCTTGCTAGCATACATACCGCCGTGTTAGCTCTGCAACATGGGTGCATTTCGAGTATATTTTTGTTTCCCGTGTACTGGAATCTGGTAATGTAAGTGTCTTTCCTTGTCGCAGAGACGTTTGTCGTGTGATTTTAACATAGTAGCCCTTGGCAGTTTCATGTTTACTGTGGATGTCATTGCTTAAGTTCATCTATATGCCGGAACACCATTGTGTACCTTTTTGTGAATGACCACATATGCTTCCATCACCTTCAGTCCATTTCTTCCGGCGAAATATTTGTTTTTCTTAACTCTCGCAGTCTCAGTCGAATCGTCACTCCTAATCACCACCGGCCTGCCTAATATATAAACTCTGGATCGATTTTGCGGTACGCTTGCACTGTTCGCTGATGTGACTGTTAGTTTTCTCCCCACTCAGTTTCACTCTACTCACTTTTTATAGCCTAAAAGGTTGCATCCAGTAAACGTGTCACCTCATATTTCACAGTCTGTCTTGTAAACCAAGGTTGTTCATGCTCACGTTCTCGTGATGCCACGTGACCGTGAGTGACGACTGGCGAGATTACGAGGCATCCTGATTCGACCAACAGGAAAAGTCATTGTTGGCTTCTCATCCAAGTGTTCCTATCAGTTGACTGGGTCAGCCTGTGTCGTTGCATCCGAACAAAGTCAGGGTTGGTTATTTCCACGCGTGTTGCACATTTTGCCTCCAGTATCGGCTAACCTGATATTCAATCAAAAACATCCTCCCTCTTAATGTCCCATTTGTGAACATCTAACCAACTACCAGCTGCTGCCACGAGACTGACAACTTCTGCACTGGGGATGTCACCTCGAACTATGATGGGACGTGTGCAATCAAATTCCCAACTCAGTGAACATCATAGAAACTGAGATACATAGTAATTTTCTGCCCGAATAACTTCTTCATTTGATTGAGATAATCCGTTACTCGATGTCGACACACTAACCATACTCGGTAATCTATTCATTTCGCATGTCCACTTTCAAATCGTAATGTTGCTCATTAGTTACTCACAAAATGGGCTTAGAAATAACACCGTCTTGTTGGGTGTCTGCCTTATTTTTACGCACGTCCCGCAACGCTAGATTATCTCTTTTTGCAGGACTTTCATAACTCACTTCTGATTCTTTTTCATCAATAAACACCACTAAAGCGAATACAAAACTATATTTGATTACTCCATCTGGTTCGAATTACTCTCTGCCTTCCTCAGGGCTCCGATCCAGACATCTGCAGCAATTGTGATAGCGAGTCTGATTTCACTAGGACAGATACCATGTGCGCGGATTCCATAGTGCGGAGTATACTCGATGAGATAATTCAGAGCCCAGGTACAATTTATCACGAGAAAGAATCTAGCCCATCCACTACTCAGACTGCTGCCAGTCCTAGCTCAGAAACTGCTGATGAAATTGATACGCCGACCAAAATGAACGGTATACCCAACGGGCCGAGCGCCTCACAAGACGCCAAAGACAAGTTGGATAACACCATGCCGACCGAGGCCGTAACAATGGCACACGTGACTCAAAAAGATGCTTTTCTGGTTTTCCGCAGTCTTTGTCGACTGGCTACCAAAGAATTTGGGGGGTCCCGATCTTCCGACGCCAAGTCAAATGCTGTTCGCTCCAAAACGCTATCCTTGCAACTTCTGTCGAGCGTTTTTCAGCAACCTGGTCCGCTATTCCTGTCCAGTGAAATATTCATTACCGCAATCAAACAGTACTTGTGTGTGGCTTTGGTTCGAAATGGTGTTTCTCCTGTGGCCGAGGTTTGTGAGCTCTCTGTGAATATTTTTCTGGCACTTCTCACGTATTTCAAGCCTCAGTTAAAGCGGCAAATCGAGGTATTTCTCAAGGACGTGTTCTTGGAAATCCTTGAATCTACAAAATCCACATTTGAGCACAAATGGGTTATCATGGAAGCCCTACGCCGTATTTGCGCGGATGCTCAGTGTGTTGTCGACATTTATCTCAACTATGACTGCGATATGAATATGGCCAACATATTTGAACGGCTCACCACAAGTCTTGCCAAAATAGCACAGGGCCGATACTCCATGGAGCACGGAATCTCGGTCACTCAGCGTCAGGCACTCCGAACCAGCGGTATCGAGTGCTTAGTCCTTATATTGCGATGCATGATCGATTGGTCTCATGAACTTTATGTAACTCCTGAACCGCAGTCGTTTCTAGGCAGTCAGCCGTCGGTCACAACCGCTGAACCAGTTGATGGATGCCTAGCTGGTAAGTTTCCATTGGCACATTTTTCATCCAGAACATTATGAATTTTTTGGCAATTATGAGCTCATTCTTGACGAAGTTTTTCTATCTACCGTTCTGATAGACATTACGCATTCCGTTACACCCATTATTTCTAATATCCGTTGTATGTGCTTACTTCACACGTTACCAATATTTTCCAATTCTTTTGGGGACAGGAGTATCGCAAGTTGATCGGTATCTAATGCCTACTGTTCGCTGACACGCAGGCGCATGCGAGCTAGGGATACTTCGGGGTCATCCACGTCTATGCAGGCTCGAACTGACCATACATGTCAGATGTCTAAATCACTTGGTCACTAGAAGGCGCACTCCTTGGTAATAGCTATATGTGTACCTTTTCTTTTCTGCAGGAGAGCTTACAATGCTATTCGATTAGGTTGTGTATATCTTGCTTTGGATTTCGCGTAGCGAGGACTCTGTCTCTTGCGACAGGACCATATGCTGTGTTTTCTTTTTGCTTAAGCTTTTAACAAAGAAAACAACGGGGTCATTGAGCAACATGCGGATCGCATGCATTGTCGATAGCCAGTCCCTGTGCTTTCATCTGTCTTCATCATACCAACTAATCTTCATGTTGCAATTTGGACGTTTAAATGGCTCCCATAGATACCCGAACCGAAGGCTAAACTGATGCCCGGTTTTAGACACTGAAGAAACGTTCAACGCCCTGAAACTTAAGCCGTTGACTTAATTCTCAAACACGATCAGGTGGAAATTAAGCCGTACAGCTTTGTTCCCAGTCATTCCTGTTAGTTGATCTCTTGCGCTTAACATCCCTGTTAGTCTGGTGGGAATAACCTACCTTTACTCTCTGCTGCATGGTTACTGGCCTCTTTAAACTGCTTCTTTTGGCTCTTAGCAATCAGACACCATCCTCGTACCCATTCACCCTCTTGCTTGTTATCATCATTTCGCATGTAAAAAATTATTATCTGCTCTCCGAACTTAGTAAATCACATGGGCGCTGCCTTTCCCCTCTCTACTCCTGTCATGATCGCCATGCTTCACCTCACAGTCTGGTCATGCGAGCATTATGGTTATCGCTGTCTACTGTACTACCACTGTACTGTCACTATAGTGACCTCATCTTACTAGAACTATATACCAATTACATTTATTCACGGTGGATTTTTGGATTGCTCGCTGTGCGTTTGGATTGCGACGTTCCGTCTCAATCTAGGCCGGTACTTCCCTTAAGCTACATCTCTGTTTCTCCTATCATTTGTTGCAGGCAGTGGGTTCCGGTTGGTCATGTAGTCTAAGCTATATCTCTTTCATCCCAGCCCACGTCATCCACCAAGCCAATGGGAGTAGTTGTCCAAACGCTATCGTATCCGATTGCAGGATATCTCATGGTGTTTTTTATCTTTAACTGAACAAACTCTTCCTTCACAAAAAATTCCGGATAATGCAGTGCTGGCTAGTGAACGCACAAGTTGCAAAATTGTCCACTGTTGAGCTGCATCCGGGCGGCGAACTCGGTATAGGCTCCCGTAATGACAACTGTGAGCGATTGCTACCCCTGTGTGGAGATGCTCGTCTATTTCACGTGAGCACTAACTTCAGACACAGCACCCGCCGGAGAGTGACATGATGCTCACTATTCTCGAACTAGCTATGAACGCAAATTGATCACATCGCCTTGAGGCAAGAGCGTGGACTCCGACCATACATTCGTATGTGTTGATCTGAGCGTATGTTTCGGCGGACACTCGCGGCGACGCTGTCAGCGCATAGACATCGGTCAACTAACGAAGCCAGCAGTTCAGATTGCGTTTCAAAGTACGCTGGCATCCGAGCTGAGTAAGCGGCCACTGAACACAGCTGACGGCCAGTGGTCACATGTTTACCAAACCT